ACATACATACATACATACATACATACATACATACATACATACATACATACATACAAAGGACAGTATTTTTATTGCGACAAATGTGCCCCGTCTGCAAAGGTGGTATGGTTTGAGACCCATCCGACGTCATATTATGCCCAATGACTTTTTAAGATCGAACATAGAAGGCATAATTGCGTCAATTTGTAGGGTGTCTGTGTAGAAAAGTAGCATTGCGACTGTCATATTTCAAGTTTCTAGTTTGCCTTTTCATGGTCAGAATGAAGACTTTATGAACATCCCTCGTACACGCAGGTACATCCTCACTAATCACTCTTTGATTTCCTCTTCTTGCCACAACACAGGCCACAACAACAGCTCCAGGTCTTGTACACCAACACAACAACAACTTTCACAACCGCTACAAACGCCAGAATGTCTAGGGCCAGAAACTGGTACGTGGGCATATTTTGACCTGCTGACCTCATGTAGGCGCCACCATACTTTATCACGCGATCCAATCAGAATGCCGTCTCTTTCAGACATGGTGCGAACATTCCACGACGCAATCCGGAGAGACTTGTTCGACAGAGAAGGTTTCGGAAGCTATACAGTTCTTTGTATAGATTCGAGGCTTTTTGTATATTTTTCTTATACTTGTTATTCTCCAGCAGCGTCAGAAGCTGTATGTCTGTGACCTCACGGATGTCGGCCTTTAGACCAAAACCTTTGGCCACACCCCTTTGAGCATTGTACGGCATGTCATTCTCAAAAGGCAGGCAAAAAGTTGTAACGGCGTGGTACATTCCCTCGTACTGCCCGTTCATACCACAGCGGAAGACGAAGAGCTTGGTGTTCTTGTGCCCTAGGATGTCATTTTGTGGTACCCAGGAAGAAGTGAGAATCTTACCCGGATCCGGAGACTGGAGTTTCACTCTCCAAACCAGGTTCTGTTTCAGCTTCAGGAACGCCGACACCATCTTGGAGGAAATGTAGTCCGGTATCTCTAGAACGTAACCACGACAACGTCGTTCACAGATTTCTCCATGAAGCATTTGAACGGCTATTTGAGTTCTTTCGGGGGATTCCCCGCTGTGCTTCCCACGAATTTGATATTTGGCAGCTGCGGACGAGCGAAATCCATAATAGGGTCGCTCTCAACGATGAAAATTTCCGCCTGGGTTCCGCCTGGGACATGATCTCCTTGGTAGATATTCTGGGTCGGTGAGGTGCGAACTTTGCAACGAGTTTGTCACTTGATACGTACTCGTGGAGAAATAAACGCGCTAAGTGAAACATGCTATTCTTAAAACGTTGGAAGAAAGTCATACCTTCCTCTAGAAAATCACCATTGAGTTGTAAAGGGGAGGCTGACAGATTGATGGTGACCCTTTGTCCAACATAATCGTGAAAATAACACAAAAACGAAAAAGGAACATTCAGCATGTAAGGAAAAATGACAAAATCCCTAAGCACAGGCTGCTTATCAAAACAAACATATCCGGCTTAATTTCTTTTAATTTCACAATCAGCTGTTTGGCTGACAAAACCTGAGTCGCCAAG